CGAACCAGAGAGTAATTGGTCTTTGGCCACATCAAATCTAGGTGGAAGACYAAGAAGAAAACTGATAACTGCTAGTTGTTCGCGTTGGGCAAKCCGAACTTTTGCATCATTACTATTTGGGAGTAATGCATTAAACTCTGCGTAAATTCGTTTGTGTTCCATAAAGTAATTTGTAAGAGATTGGTCACCAAACTCAGGTCGGTAGAAGCGCTTGCAGATTTCAAATATTCGACTAACATTTCCTTTTCCAGAATAAAGGAATTTTAAATATTTAAGTAACTCTTTAACATACTCACATTCATTGACCAAGCCAATAATGTCACCCTCGATCGAATTCTTGATCTGCAGAACCAGTCGAGCATCATCCCGTAACCAAGCTTTCTTGCTCTCATCCTTAGGCGGATCCTCAGTTATGTGATCGTCCATATCAATACTTCGCAAAAAAAAAAAGACGAACATTGATTTTCCATGAAGAATAGTTTGATCCATTCAACTTGTGTTCTGTGATTTTTGATATCATTGGGATCACCTCAGAAGTTACGATTGATTTCTTCTCAGCCATAACAAACAAGCGAACTTATTTGAACAAAACGACAGAACCAAATCAAACCACTTGAACCAAACAAAACAGGCGGCGGTAGTCGGCGGTGGTGTTGGATAGCAATGAACAAAAAACCCTAAGGCACAAAACCCTAATGGGCGCAAAACCCTAATGAGCGCAAAACCCTAATGGGCATCAAAACCCTAATGGGCAAGAAACCTAAAAAACCTAGAGCTCTGATACCATGTAGAGACTAAGGTTGGAGAGAATCCAATGTTCAGTATTCTTATTATTAAAGTCTATATATATAGACAAATATACAAGGTTGACCTAATCCTATCAGGAGAAGGTAAATGACAAATTAATATTAATACAAGAATATAAAATATACTAATATATACTCAAACATTTATAATTATAGTATAGCTTATATGAAAACTCAAGTGAATTGGAATTAGGAATTCTGGAGTATATGAAACCAAATTCGCAAACACTAAAACTCTCAAATTGATTAGATTTTAACACTAAAGTTTATGTCAGATCTGGATTGCTTTAAGATTAAAGCTCTCAAGAACTGAACACTCTATAAGATAGGAGGATGAATCCTATTTGAATGTTTTTGGTATGCAACTCAATACATGAAATTACTGAAGTTCGAGAAGTTCTTGGCTAACTTGAAAGGAAAAGCTCAAAGGCTAAACTTCATTCTTCAAGATTGATGTGTCAAACAACCTAATGACAAGACTTTAGATAGCCTCCTGACTAAACCCTAAACGCCACCTCATCCACCATAACAAAAAGACTAAAATACCCCTACTTAATATGTTGAAGAAAGGATAAAATTCGAAAGCAATAAAATTACATAAAAAACCTCTAAAATAAAAGTGTATCGTCATTTGAAGTCCTGGACGGTTCACCCCAATAGCGGTCCGTGGTTTTAGATCCTGGGGAGTCTAGGAACATGATACTGATTTCTTGTTTCAGGAGACACTCAGAAAAACTGGCCAAAGAAGTATCCAAGTAGGCTTCCCCTTGATGTATGTTGTGATGGTTGCTTTCCTCAGTCTTGTTGTTGGATACTTTATCCATCCCTAGCAGAAGCAGAACAAAGCAGTGGGGCCCCATTAGGTACTTTTGAATATCTGTTCTTTTTAGACTATGGACTTGGCTGCTGTATATGACTTGGTGTGTGCTTTTCTATAATCATATGTAAAGCATTTTTTTTAGAATCTATATTAGAAATAAGGAGAAGAGTCTATAAGAGCTATAGATACGAATGTCTAACCAATTGATCTGCTCGGGTCTGACATGTACAAAGATGTTGAGTCTTTCTTATTTCTTCTTTTTGGGTGTTTTGGTATTCTATTTCTATCTCGAATGTCCAATGTAGGCCGAACGAAAAAATAAAAATACTTGGGAAGAAAATAAGATATATGTATGATATTGGAGAAACTTAGCATTTGCATTTACAACTTATCCATTCGCCCATGTATTAAATTATGGATGATGGCCGCTGTGCCATAAAGTTTCAATAGAAGTTCGAAACTATTACTATTGATGAAGTTAATTTCTAGGACTTCTATAATATGCCACAAGGCATAACGGGGTCAGTGAATTCCCTTTAGGATACCTGTTAATCATAGTAGTTGTGTATGTCCATCCAATTTTTAATTTAGGATTGTTTTAAATCGTGATTATGAGAATATAGAAAAGGAATGAAATTGAATGATTATGATCTCAATTGTGCTAGAATTAATTCAAGTTCTTGGTCTTGGACGGGTTAAGCGTATAGATAGTGTACGTTCTAAAATGTTCTTTTTGGTTCCTGTACTTTCAACCTTAGTTGATTTTAGGTTCTGTACTTTTAAAAAGTGGCCGTTTTGGTCCATTAATTTTATTTTATTTTTATTACAATTTCAATACGACACTATACTCAATATATTTCTTGAAATGTATCAATAACTTTACATTAAAGGGTTTTCATGATGTGTAGGATTTATGTTAAAATTGTGCAAATAGGAACAAAACGAACAATTTAAAAATACATTAAAATGAACACTTTGAAGGTACACTAAACTAAAACTGAGGCTGAAAACAAAATAGTATTTAAAAAAAAAAAAAATAAAAGGCAGTTACAAAAATAACACAGCAGGATTATGAATTTTTATATATAGTATTAGGTTTAAAATTTTATAAAAATGACATACCACATGGTTTTCAAAATTGCGGTTCCCGCGTTCCTTTTGGAGCCAGACTTTGTTACCAGAGCACTGAAAGAAACGGCGCCGCCTTATTGAGAAAGGAAATAACAATCAAAAGGTGTGTGCATGACTGGCAACGGACACGATCGAGTCGGGTACCTGCGGGGATCGGGTCCTGAAGGTATTTTTGCCATCCCTACTTGGTCTGGGAGGTGCTCACGTGCGACCTATTTCACTTGTGGGCTCCAACTTTTCTTTCCTTGATTCTCTTTTTTGTTCTTCAAAATATATCAATTTGATCGAATCTTTGATTGTCCATTAAGAAAATAATCAAGTTTAGACTGATCATATCGAACGAAGGAACTTGCAAAATAGTGTTGGTACTTTGACACTCTAGTTATCAGAGAATATAATATTTGTACCTTGTTTGAGATGTGAGGATATATATTTGTAGAGGTGAGCTTCCAATAGTGCTTCGGCGGCTCTTTGATTTTCCAAGAATTGTGGTGCCTTGTTGGAGATTGTGTCTGGCACTTTGCTCCTACAGGTGCTCTTCAAGGCCGGTTTGTGCTGCTCGAAGGTCAGTTTGGCTTGACTTGTCGAGCTGTTTGGAGTCGTCCGAATGATGAGATTCATCTAGTTCTTCTCTTCATCGTGAAGAGTAATGATCTCATATGTTGACACATGGCAAATGGTAATTCACCTCCAACAAAATTACAAATTTAATCAACATATTTTAGACATATTTTCAATTTGGTCTGTCTGTAATTTTAAAAGCTTCCATTTGATCTGAGTTGTAGTTTCAATACTGTTTTTACAGTTTAGTTCATGCTCACAAATCATCATTGTTATTGTATAACAAAATTGTTATTTTCTAGTTGGTTATCTCACAGTGTTAAAGTTTTAAAGCATATTAAAATAAAAATAAATAAATAAATAAGAGTTGTTTTGGTGGATAAAAGACCTTTCAAAATAATTTTTTTTAGGTTTAACCAAACCATATAAAGAAGATATTGAAACTAAGTCTACGTCATTGGAATTAAATTGAAACTTTTAATAGAGATAGAATTGAAACTATGCTCAAATTATAGGTTTTGTAATTTAGCATTTTTTTTTTGTTTTTGGTCTAGTAGTCTAATGTTTGGATTTTTGTTTATAAGTTTTACTCATATTTTTAAAATGGTTTGAAAGATATATGTTTTTTTTATGCTTATTTTATAATTTTAAAGGTACTTTTTAAAACAAATAGTTTCAACTTTTTATTTTGTAATTTAACTAAGATCTACAACAGTTTAAAAGATTAAAAATAATCTTAAAAATAATATTTTGGTAACAATTTAATTAAGTTTGTAAAAATTAATTAATTCAAATTCGAATTAGTTTTATGTTCATGTTTGTTTTTGTCTTTATTAGTTAAAACTTTATATGTTTGTCTCTAGAGTAATGCACTAAGAAACTATGTGTTTTAAAAATTCTATTGCTATGTTTAGGAGATGTTTTTTGTAAAATTATTTTTTAAAATAGTAAATAAAAAGACAAAATAATTACCTAATGGCACCGAACGTTATACAATTGCCCCATATAATTCAACCTCCTCAGTGAAAAAAATAATAATAATAATTCAACCTCTTCCACCAAATTATTATTATTATTTTGCAAAGTTGTTTTGATATATATAATTGAGATTTCTCTCCACCTGGATATTTTTTTAATAATGTTTTTTATTAAATTTATTCCAAAAATATATCACCTACCAAATTATTTCGTTTAGAAAATAGTTGGTCGTCTCTAAGAGACGACCTATGAATAGGCAACAGCAAATCATCTCTTCAAGAGACGACATGCAGACATGACGCTCGATTAATGTCACGTCTGATTTTTTGAAAAACATTAAAACATGGTAGAAAAGATCAAGTAGGTGCGCTTTTTCGTGGTTCGTCTCTAAGGAAAGAAAAAAGTGATTATGGTATATTATATAAAGCAGCATAATTTTTAATTAAAGTACGCTGGCGTAGTGGACAAACCACAAACCATCAATTCTAATTCTAAGAGCATTAGTATTAGTTCAATTTCTATCATTGGCAAAATTTAAATTTACATTTTAATTTTTTTTCCTTTTTAATTTTAGAAATAAGCAATTTTCTTTCTTTTTTTTTTTTTTTTTGAGAAATATAGTCAACTTACCGCTCCTACTTATTATTATTATTATTAAATATAATTTTTTACTCATTTAAAATATAATCTATTATATATATAATAGAAAATTATAATAATTAATATATATACTTATTATTATTAACTATAATTTTTTATTCCTTTAAAAATATAATTTATTATATATATATAATGAAAAAATTATAGTAATTATATATATACTTATACTTATAATTAATATTATTATTTTATTTTTAAACGAAGAATAATAATAACAACAATAAAATAATCTTATTTAAACTTTCTACAAATAATAATTTATTAAAATAATAATAATAATAATAAATTAAAAAATAAAATATTATTGTATAATATATATACCAAAGTTTGTTTTGGTATAGTCGATCTGTACTCACTTTATATACCAAACTTTCCACGCACTCAAACCGACAAAGAGAAAAAAGAAAACTGCACCACAATCCACCATACCCCTAATTGATATCTAGTACAAAATCCTATTTTTTAATATATAATATATAATATATAATAATATTTATTTTTTCCTTAAAAGTCCAAATCATCCCTTAAAGAAACTACCATAAATTGCGTGCTAATCTATGACATATGACGACTATATCTTGATTTTTTTTAAAAAAATCAGACGTGGTGCCAATAAAGCGTCAGGTTCTTATGGTCGTCTCAGAGACGACCAACTACTAAAAATGGCATGATCATATCTTGAGGGACGATCAAGTGGGTGAATAATTTCAAAAGCTTTATTTTTAGAATAAGTTTCAAAAGAAACCTTTTTTTTCTTTACTTTTATTTAATGCATCACTATTTTAAAAATAAGTTTAAATAAAACATTACTTAAAAAAAATTAATTATCAATACTTATAGATTTTTTTTAATTGTAATTCATACTAGAATTGGAAGAGTCGAAGAATTTCAAAAACTTTTATAATTTTTTATTCTCTACTATTATAAAAATAGGCTTTCTTCCACCATTTTTTCCAACTTTTCACTACTTCTCTATTTTTAGTTCTCTCAAAACATCTCCCAAAGATTATTCAATCTCGAAAACATCTCAAGATGTTGGTGGCATATTCATCAAGTTGTAAATGATGCACGTGCCAAATCTATATATCTCGAATACCAGACTTGCGACATTATCGTTCTACAATTTTATGAAGTTGGATGTACCTAAAAGATGAGTGAATAGTTGGGATTTGATTTTTTTTGTTACTACTTTAATGAAAAAGAGTTCTTCCCCATTGTTCCACTCACAATATGAGCCCTGTTTTATTTTGTCTATTTTTATTCTCTCATTTCCTTCATTTTTCCAGTATCCATAAGCTCAAAAGCAATTTAAGATGATGTGTGCAAGAGAATATGATACATGAGTCCATCTATATTATGAATTATAGATTTCAAATGTTACAATTTGATTTCGAAGCTAGGTATGTTTATCTTGAAATAATAAGATACTAATCTTAAAATAGGGGATACGGTGAAATCGGCAGACGCTACGAATTTAGTTGGATTGAGTCTTGATATAGAAACTAAGTGATAACTTTAAAATTCATTGAAAACTTGAAATTAAAAACGGACAAAATACTGAACCAAATCCTTAATAGAAAACCATGTATATATATGCTTATTTATTTATTTATGAAATTTGCATAGATACACATTTTAACTTTTTTTTCTTTATTTATTATTGTTTTTCTTTTAAGATATATTTTTTAATAAAATTAATTAAGTGAAAAATACTTCCTACAATGCATGTGGTAGCACAGTAGTATGCCCAAAAGCTCACATCCTATCTTTATCAAAAAAAAAAAAAAAATAATAATAATAAAAGCTCACCTCCTATCAAATTTAACTATGAATTTCTCTTTCAATTTCAAATTTAAGAAGTAGAGAAATAAATAAAGAAAACTCGTTGACATTTTTTCAGTCTCAGATAAAGTCTCACATTTGTAATGTTATATTCTATTAGAAAATATATATGTTAATTTTTTAAGGAAAAAAAGTGTTTTATTTCGTTAACATTACATTATAAATGAATATATAGGAGTCAATTTGAATATAGTTCCTTAAAAAAAAAACTTGAATATAGTTCCATTGGTTTATATATATATATATATTTTAGTATCATATGTCGAGGTGAGAATTCAAACTCTCAACCTCTTCGTTGGAGATATATATCAATTACCAACAGCGATGTTCGCTTTAGTCTCATATCATCGATATTTAGTATTAGAGCTTTTTCAAATAAATAATTTTCAACAATCAAAACTACGTGGATCTACCCAAATACACCGGGGAAAACATCATTTAGCACATGAAATATTTTATACCAATTAAAGTGATGTCCTTTAATATGTAGATTTGATTAGTTTTTTTTTTCTTTTACTTTCTTTCTTTTTTAAAATATTGTCGTTTAGTTTGTTGGGGAACACCCCTCCGACTAATTAACGTGTCAATTTGCATAATAAAAAACTAAAACATGGTCAATTATTAATTAGCATAGGAAAATTGAAGTACGTGAAATTTGGAATGTTTTTCTCTTGCCCTTCTCATTGATTCAAAAATGAAATATACAAATTTATCTGACCCAAATAAGGAAACAAATAAGGAAACAGAATCACAAAAAAATATATAGCAAATACAATAATAAACAATTGAAAATCGTATTACCCCTCAAGTGGGAGCATGCAAGTCGTAAATGTCCAACTTGCCAAGAAGAAGATCAAATTGCTTCTTTCCCAATGCTTTAGTAAAAATATCTGCTAATTGTATTATGGTGGAACATATGATGGGGCAATTAGACCTTCTTTGATAGTATCTCGAACAAAATGACAATCAACTTCGATGTGCTTGGTGCGTTCGTGGAAAACTGGATTTTGCGCTATGTGCAATGCAGACTGACTATCACAAAAAATGGATATTGCCTTTGGATGATGCACTCCTAAACTCAGAAGAAGACCCTTCAACCATTTCAGTTCACATGTGATGGAGGCCATGGAATAATATTCTGCCTCAGCAGAAGAGCGAACAACCGTATGTTGTTTCTTAGTCTTCCATGAAATTGGTGAGTTTCCCAAATAAACAAACCAACCAGTGAGTGATCGTTGGGTAAGAGGACAAGCCGCCCAATCCGAATCACACCAGCCTGTCAAAGACAAATCACTATCGGAACGTAACAAAATGCTTTGACCCGGAGATTTTTTTAAATAATGCACTACACGTAAAGCAACACCCCAATGATCTTGTTTTGGTTCCTGTATGAACTGAGATAGAATATGAACCGAGTAAGCTAAGTCAGGACGAGTGACAGCCAAATAAATTAGACATCCAACTAAGCGTCGATAAGACTCCGGATATGATAGCAAAGATCCAGTGGCACGTGCCAACTAATGATTCTGTTTGAGAGGAAACGATACCGGTTTGGAGCCCAACAAACCAACTTTTGAGATGATATCAAGGGCATATTTTCGTTGACATAAGTGTAGGCCTGAGTTATTTCTAGTCAACTCTATGCCAGGAAAATATTTAAGAACACCAAGATCCTTCATATGAAAACACCTGCTCATATATGCCTTTAAACACGCAACCGCAATGAAATCATTTCCAGAAATGATCAAATCATCAACATATAGAAGTATATTGAGCTGTACGAGGCATTTAGTGTATGTGAATAAAGAATAATCCAAGCAAGATTGTAGAAAACCATACCCCTTTAAAGCTGTCGCAAGCTTGGCAAACCAACACCGAGGAGCCTAACGTAAACCATGACTTTCGTAGACGACAAACTAAAGTCGAGTCACTGGATGTAAAACCTGGAGGAAGTTTCATATACAACTCCTCATCCAAATCACCATGGAGAAAAGCATTGTGTACATTCATTTGATGTAACTCCCAATTCTTAGATGCTGCAACGGCAAGAAAAGTTCGAACCGTCACCATCTTTGCTACTGGAGCAAACGTCTCGTTGTAGTCAATTCCTTCAACTTGGTGATTACCAAGGAAAACTAGACGGGCTTTCAAGCGCTCAATGCTACCATCAGAATTGTACTTAATTTTGTACACCCATTTACTACCAAGAGCTTTCTTTCCTGGCGGTAATTTCTCCATCGTCCAAGTACCATTGTCTTCCAAAGCACTAATTTCTTGTTGCATAGCAGTACGCCATCTAGCATCCGTTACGACTTCTTTGAAGAATCGTGGTTCAACACCTGCAGTTATAGCTGCAAGAAAATCTCGATGTGGTGCATTAAATCTGTCACAACTAACATAATGTGCTATAGGGAAGGAGTTACCTGAGGAAGGATGATGGCGTTGATCAGATGGAGGAGGAGATGAACTTTTATGAGTAACTGTATGTATCACGTAATCTTGCAATTTAACTGATGGTACTTTCTTTCTACATCCACGACCCAATTGCTCCTCACCAACCTGCTCACCAATATGTTCTTCACCAACCCCCTCGTCGATATTTGCCGTCCCAGCCCCTTCGTCGGTGGTGGAGGAAGTGGCAGAGGTCGATGGAAAATCAGTGTCGGTCTCACATAATATCTCTTCAGTCCCTATATCTTCAAGAACACCTGAGTAAAATCATCACTGTCTACGGGATTGTCAATACAAGACTTTGGAATAGTCAAGAAAGGAAAAACGTTTTCATAGAACTTGACATCCCGTGACACAAAAAATTCCTTTCTTTCAAGGTCAAATAAACTCTAGCCTTTCTTGCCAAATGGATAACCAACAAAAAAACATTTGCGACTACGACTAGCAAACTTGTCACCTTTAGTGTTTTGGTTATGAGCAAAAGCTAAACAGCCAATGATACGTAAATTGTCAAACGAAGGAGCACAACCATAAAACTTCATACGGAGTTTTGTCTGAAATAGCACTAGATGGAGTCCTATTTATGAGATGAGCAGCAGCCAAAACACACTCACCCCAAAAATAAATCGGTAATCCTCCCTGAAAACGTAAGGCACGAGCAACATTCAAAATATGTCAGTGTTTCCGTTCGACGCGACCATTCTGTTGAGGTGTACCCACACACGAGGTCTGAAAGACAATTCCACTATGTGCAAAATAATTTTTCAAGCAGTTGAACTCTGTTCCATTATCACTACGAACAATTTTCACCTTTTAAGAAAATTGACGTTCAATCATAGCAATAAAAGACATAAACATCGAAAAGACTTCTCTTTTATAGATCATCAAGTAAACGCACACAGCTCAAGAATAATCATCAACAAGAGTTAAAAAATAACGTGCACCACAAGAAGAAAGTTCATTACACGGGCCCCATACATCACAGTGAAGTAACTCAAATATCTGAGTGGATTTATTTTTACTGGAAGAAAAAATACTACGAGAATATTTAGCCCGATGACAGACTTCACACCCTTTATCCAACTGAAAGAAAAGGAAGCAACTTCACTACGGAAGGATGACCCAACCGATGATGCCACAACTCCAAAGACTTTAAACTAGAAACTGAAACGGCTTGCACTGTTAAACTTCGTCGCAGATAATAAAGTCCATCTCTTCGCTCACCCGTGCTAATCACCTTCCTCTAACGTTGGTCCTGTATAGCACATGAGTTAGAATCAAATTGAACTAAATAATGAAGCTCATCACTCAATTGTGAAACCGATATTAAATTGCACTATAATTGAGGAACAAAGAGAACATTATCAAGTATGATAGAGTCGGTCAGTTTCACAATGCCTGTTTTAGTAGCAACTACAGTTTGTCCATTTGGGAGACCCACAGGGCAAGAAGAAACCACGTGAACATCCAATAGACAAGAATCATTACCGGTAACATGATGAGAGGTATCAATAATCCAATAAGCAATGTTATACTTATCGTGCAACCGGTTGGAAGAAGGAGTACCAAACGCAACTGTTACGGCTGCTCACTGTTCAGCCGTAAATTCTAGAGGGGTTGACATAACAGGTGATGTACTGTTGAGGGTCGTCAGTGGCAATAGCATTTGCGCGCGCTGTGGAGCGTCCACGGTTGTTCGAAGCTTTGTGGAATGTTGCTTTACCTTTCAAATGTCCTTTGCTATCGGATGAAGACCCATACCTCTCCAAGTACCAATCTGGAGTGCCATGTAAAACAAAACATGTACTACAGGAATGTCCTGATTTGTGACTGTAAGTACAAGTCAAGACCGCGTTTTCTGCTCGATCCAATCGTGTCTTTTGCCTATTATCCGTAAGCACAGCAAAACCAACCACCTCAGGTTTCTCATCGTTGTTTGATCCGAGTTGAGTAATTCCTCTAACCCGTTCATTTTGAGCCACTTGCTGAAATGCCCGATTTAATGATGGAAGAGGATCTCATGACAGAAGAGTAGTCCTCAATTGACCATAATAATCAAAACACAAACCAAGTAAAAATTGATGAAGTCTATCATCAGAGCGTCGTTTCTCATGTAGTTTTCCAACCTGACAAGTACAATTTCCACACTCGCAAGAAATCAGGGGCTCATGTTTATCTAACTCATCCCACAAGACATTCAATTTACTAAAGTAGACAACAACATACATATTTTTGCTCTGTTCACAACGGCTAATATTTCCCTTAAGTTGGTAAATATGAGGACCATTGACAACAGAGAATCGTTCGTTCAAATCATCCCATAACAACTTGGCATTATTATAATTAGATAGCATAGAACGTACCTCAGGATCGATTGTATTGATGAGCCATGAAACTAGCATACAATGAATTGTGACCCAATTATCATTTGTCCAGGGCGGAACAACCCTAGTGATGGTTCGTTAAGAAAACCAAATTTTCGTCGAGATGAAAGAGCAACTCGGATTGCATGAGACCATTCGTCAAAATTATCAAGCTTTAGACGAATTGGAGTTATGAAATCACCGGGACGATCTTGTGGTCCTAGGTAAAACGGTGAATTTGTATCAATTTTTGTGGCAACTCATAGTTTTTGCTAATGGAGTTTTTTCTTCCTCTGTCAGAGCCCGATAAAAAAAAAGTCCATGAAAAAAACAAATACAACGAAAAACACTGCTTTTGTACTGAACCGAATCGAACCAGTGAGGTGAACCAGACCGAACCACTGTATTGAACCGAACCGTAAAAATGAACCAGGCCGAACCAGAAGCTTGAACCGCACTAAAACCAAATCTGCAGCAGTGCCCAAAATTCGTGAAATCTGCACAGCAATGAAACCATCCGAAACGTTCAACAACCGGAGTCAAAGATTCTGTTTCAATGTATAACAAATATTGATTCTGTTTCAATATGTAACAAATATTGATTCTATTTCAATATTTCATGTTCAACCACGAACAGACAACGGTCACCACGAACACACGTCAAACGACGACAAGAAAAAAAACTGCTAACTTAATCTTCAATCTTCGTACGATTGAGACCAAGAGTAATCGGCGAGCGGCGATCAATCGAGCGGCGCAAATCGGTGCAGCAGCGGACGCAGGCGGGCCAACGACCAATCTGATGGACGTGAGATTGCAGTGGCACCTATAAAAAAAACCTAGAGCTCTGATACATGAGAAATTTGGAATGTTTTTGGGAAAATCGGATAAAAAAACATTTTCCACGCCCAATTTTATTTTTTAATCACCTTTTTCAAAATAAAATTTTCTTGGCATTACGTATTTACCCTCCTACTTTTCCTCTTTTATCTCATTCTTCACTTTTCTCTCTCTTCCCTGCCTTATGTTCTCTCTCTCCCCTCCGTTCTCCCCTTCCTTCTCTCACAGATTATTTTTGCAATTTCCCATTTGTAAATAAAAAATTAAATTTGTAAACATAAAGATAATCAGTGTATTATTTCGAAAATCCTTTCTTCTCGGTGGATCCAGTACCTTTCTTTTCGGCGGGAGAGATTTGATCGTCTTTTATCACCGATTTCCATAGTCGGAATCCCCTTCTTCTTGGAAATTCTCGATCTCGCTCTCCCTCTCTCGCTGAAATTCTCGATCTCGCTCTCCTCTCTTGCTGAAATTCTCGCTCTCGCTCTCGTCAGATCTCTCGCCCTCTCGCTCTCCCTCTCGCCCTCTCGCCGAATTTTTAACAAATCTATCTCTTTTATTATCTCTCTGTTTTCAAATTTTTTATTTACAAATTGTTGGTAATTAAATTGAAAAAAAAAATCTAAAGACAAATGGGTCTTCGATTTTGGAGAAAGTGAAAAACGAGATAAGGGAGGAATAGTTGAGGAAGGGTAAATACATAATTTCACCCAAAGCTGACATCACCAATGTTTGGGAAACACTTATTCATCGGATTTCCCCAATGTTTTTCTCATTGATTCAAAACTGATATATACAAATTTATCCAAGACTCAAATAAGGAAACATAATAAAAAAAAACAAATACAATAATAAACAATAGAAAATCGTATCAAAATACGAATTGAATTACATATTAACTCTAATTTATCAACATTTGGCACATCATTAATGGATGTATTATTTATTCTATGAGTTCTATCTCATTATTTAACGTAAATAATGTAACAAATATATAAATGAGAGTATTATGAAAAAATTTAAATACTATTCCAATTTCTAGTACTATAAATTTTCTCAAAATGAGCACCAACCCACCACTAAACTTTGGTACTTGATTGGTTCTTTGGTTTTCTAATTTCACACACAAAAGTTAACCTTGAAACTATACATTCTCATCTTTCAAATTTTACGTAACAATAATTACCTTTGAGATGAAAACAATGAGGTTCAGTATGCACTATAGGATATATTTACTTAAATTACAAATTTGGTCTCTTAAAAATTGTGTCTAATATTAGATCTGATATGTATCTAAACTTTGAAAGGTGTCTAAAAATTTTTCAAACTTTTAATTTTCTATCCAATAGATCCCCACGTTTAAGAAATTTCTAATAACTCAATGATTTATTATAAAAAATTAAGAACAATTTATGAACTCATTATATACAAAATTGAAAGTTCTTTAAAGAACCTATTAGATACGATGTAAAGACCCGAATTCTCGATACGTTTAACGTGGTAACGGTCCTATAATGCTTCCTAAACCCTCCTAGTTAAGGTAACGTAAAATGTAATGTCCTCATAATGCAACCTGAAATATGGAGGTATGCAATAATGTAATGTCCAAAAGAAAATAATGCCCGCCTCAGTGGCTAGGAATCCAATCAAAAGAAAATAATCGTTTTGTCTAGTAATCCAAAATACACCAGTAATTCGAATAGTATTAATATCCGCAAAACAATAATCCTCCTAAGATGCGGGAATAAAAAAAAAGAAAATGTCCCGTGAGTTAACCCAAAGTCTAGTTTTTTTCCCTAGCCATAAGTTTTTAACACCGCTCGCAATGCACGACATTATCCACTATCCTAATCAACACAGCTAGTGATCCCTCCTCGGTCAAACCTCCTCCACGTCATCACCACGGTCGGCCCTGTTCACACCTGAAACAAATAAGGTAGGGGGCTGGTGCGTACATAACATACTCCATAAGTAGCCCTCCCTAACTAAACACAACGACATGCTCGTAATCATAACCACATCAAAACAATAGCAGAAACAACAGATAGGCAGCAAGGGATAATAACGGTAGATTAACCTTACCATACAAGCAGCCTAACGCCGGGATTTCCGGGACTCCAACCACACGACTCACTAGCCCCTGCCCCACTTGAACTAGCACTCGCTCTACCCCCTATGTTGGTACTCCAAGTCTAACTCTT